TATATTCATGGGAAGAAAAACATTAAGAGCCTCAGAAGAAAAAAGGGCAAAGAATATCCTGAAATGAGTCAGATATTCCTGAATTCCTGAAAAATACTGAAGCTTGAAAACAATGACGCTTAATAATAACCAAATAATTCAACTTCCAAGAATGAGCATCTGTTTGCACCAGTCAAATGAGCAAAAAGTGTCCAAAATGACAACACTAAATGCTGGTGAGGCTGTAGTGAAATGGGTTCACTCATCCAACAAGCATCTGCTAAGCACACCCTCTGGACCAGGCTCTGCCCTGGGGTGCATGTCTCCTCGCTGGCACTTGCCATCTGACCACAGCCCGTGATAACTCTTGAGGCTTCTAGAATCCCTGGAGACGCCATCCATGGGTGCGAGGGCTCGAGAGCACAACACTCCCAGAAATAGACTGAATGCAGTAAACACACGGCTGCATCAAAGAGGAGTGCCAACATTTGGGCGGGGAAGTAGAAGGGACACCCCCATAAACAAGAGGGAGAGCCTGGGGACCCCGAATTGGGAACAGAGGAAAAGAAGCCAAAGTGAGGAAACAGCACCGTCTACGCAGTCCCAAAGGCCTCAAAAAGCAGTCATGAGCTGCTCGGAGGGAAACAGGGAGAGGTATTTTTAGTTTTAAATCTTAGCAAGAATTCATAGATTTTCCACTCAGGCACCTGGGGTCCAAAAAAGTCCTTGGCTGCCTGACTCCAGCAGGAGACACCCATCACCAGTACAGCCATCAGCCACAGGTCTTACTCGTTAATCAATTATTCCAGTGAATGAAGTAATTCATTCACTGACCAATCATTCTTTTCCCACCGGTATTAATTCATTCAGCCACATATTCCTTCAATCACAGGCCCATTTATTTGTACCCCCATTCGTTCATGCACTGATTCACTCATTTGATCACTTACGTATACCCACTCCCCCATTCATTCATGCACAGACCCATTCACTTGATTGCTCACGCGTACCCCGTTCATTCATTCTGCCATCCAGTCCTCCATCCTGTGCAGCCCACTGGACAGCTGCCTCCCGTGGGCACACCTGCAGCCAGCAAAGGGCACGCCCTTACCTTGTTGTCGGCGCTGATGAGAAGAGGCTGCACTTTGATGCTGTCGCTGACCACAGACACGGCGGTGCTGGGGGCGATGGCGGCGGCATTGCTGGGGGCGGTGGAGATGATGGCATAGGCCACCCCGGCACTGCTCAGAGAAGAGGTGATGGCAGCGGGCTCGGAGAGGGCCTGGGGCTGGCTGCCAGGCGTTGGCACATGGCTCACGGTGTTGTTGGCGGTGGGGAGGGCTGGGCTGGGGTTCTTGATACTGACCACGGTGGCCTTCTGGAATGTTGGGGGCTGCTTGGGTGGCAGATCCCGGCCCGGGGTGACCGGGAGGCTGTCTGGAATCAGAGTCTTTGGCCTAACCTGGGGAGAGGGACATTTGCACGGTCAGATACACTCACAGGTGGGGTGATGACAGGCACGGAGGGGGGCAGCCCTGCGCAGAGCCAGGACTCACGGAGGACAAAGCATGGCCACTGACATAACCTGGCTCAGAGACTTCCCACGTCAGAGGTGAGCGCACGGTGGCAGAGGCCAGGGGACCCATCAAGGCTGCCCGCACCCTGAGCTGGCACTGACTGGCCACGGGGCTCNGTGAGGGGGGGTGGGGGTGGGGAAGCCGGGAGGGCCCAGGGTGGGCAGGGTCCGCAGAGCCCAGGGCCAGGTATGTCCAGCCCAGAGGGCACAGGGCCATGAGTGGCGGGATCACAGAGGGACGAGGAGGCCTGCGCCAATCTCGCCAGCCTATGGGTGCCAGCACCCAGGGCGTGCGCCTCCCGACAGCCCTGTCCACGGTGAGGCGGGTCTGCACAAGAACAGGCCTTGTCTGGGAACCAGGAGGGCCCGGGCTCCATCCTGTGCTACCGTTTTCCAGTTGTGTGGCCTCAGGGAGGTCCCTTTGCCTCTCTGAACCTCAGCGTCTTTGAACTACCTACCACCAGGGAGGCAGTGAAGATTCAGGTAGCAAGGACAAGAGAGGCTGGTTTCTTTACCCGGCTCAAATGTAGATAAACCGAGGCTGAGAAGGCTCAGACCTGCTCCTTGCCTGAGGTCTCCAGGTTAGAAAGCAGAGGGGCTGGGACGCTTCCCAGGTCTGGTTGCATCGCCCAGCTGCCCACTCCCCACCCTGCCCCTTGGGGCCCCAGGCCACTGTGTCTGAGGCACTCACACCGGGCCTGGGGGGAGGGCAGGTAGGAATAACGATGTTTTTCTCACTTTGAGGAGCCCTGCCAAGCTTAGGGGTGAATGGGGGAGTGTGGAGAAGGGGGAGGGGGCTCCAGGCCCCGCTGAGCATCACCGGGAGCGGCCCCACTTCAGCCAGCCCTCGCCAGAGGTCAGGGTCAGCACTGGGTGTGCTGGAAGGGGCAGAGCCGAGAAGTCTGAAACTGACTCCTGCAGCCCAGCGTCTCCCTGGGCCGGGAATTCCGCATCTGTGGCCCAACTATTTCATGCATTTTCTTGGACAGGGAATTGGGGAAGAATCNGGCAGGCCAGAGGTCCTATATGATTTGTGGAGGTAGGCCATGAACTTGGCTGTGAGCTCCCTAGCAGCCACAGCAAAGAGGGCTACAGGAGTAGCGATATGGCCCCATGGTCCACTGACCCTCTGGAATCTTTTGGAAGTGCAGGCGCCCCGGAGGAGGGTGAAGCCAGCCTTGTGATGCCTGGGAAGGTGAGTGCTAGGGACCCTTTCACGCTAATCATTATTTGGAGGAAAGGCTGGGTGCTGCCTGTGGGTAAATCAGGGCAGGAGGAGAGCCTGAGACAGAAGTCAGCCTTTCCATGACTGTCCTCAACCCCTTTACGTGACCAAGGTGGAGGAAGCCAGCGTGGCACAGGCTTAGGGTGCCTGGAGCAGGTGTCGAGGCCAGACTGCTTGGGTGTGGCTCCTGGCTCTGACCGGCATGACGTCTGGGCCTCAGTTTCCCCATGAGTACGAGAGGTTACCAACAGTCCCCAACGCACAGGTCACTCACGCACTGTGAGGACTGACTGACCCCACTGAGCTCCACCTGGCCAGCAGAGACGGCTCTCCTCGCTCACTGTCAGGACTGGCTGTGCCTCACACATGCCTCTTGGAGCCCAAGAGCCACGGACACAGTCCTTCCTCCGATGCCCAGGAGCCTTTTGGGGGCTCTGGGAAACCCGGTGTTCCCTTCCGCTGCACTTCCTGTGCCATCTTTTTTTTTTTTTCAACTATGGACCGCGTCACGAATTTGCGTGTCATCGTTGCACAGGGGCCACGCTCATCTTCTCTTATCATTCCAATTTTCGTCTATGTGCTACCGCAGCGAGCACCTTCCCGTGCCATCTTAGCACTGCGGGTGACCACCAGGCTGCAGGGGCCCCGACAGCAGGCGCGCAGAGCACTGGGAATGCGACACCACTGTCCCGAAGCCACCACGGACAGCTGAGACTTACAGACAACCAGTCCCTGTTTCTTTACAAAAAAACCCCTGCACCCTCACCCACCAACCCGGGCTCCTGACTGGCTCATCTGACGAAGTTTCTGGGGCAGCCGCTGCTCTGGCCTCATGCGCTCGTAGCCTGGACTATTCACCAACAGGTCAAAGGCGCCACAAAGTTCCACGCCTGTGCAGCACAACCGCTCCCAGCCCTNTGTTGGGGTGGAGAGAGGCTTGTGGGGCCTTGGACTTTCACAAATGAGGGGTGCGTGTGTGACAGCCTCTAGGAAACAGCACCGACACAGGGCACTCAGCCAGGAGGGGAAGAAGCCAGGTGACTTGTGCAAAGTGTGGAGCTGGTCAGGGGCCCAGCATCTGTGCTGCCTCCCAAAATGAAGCATCTGGTCCAGAGCTGCTCACACTTTGTCGACCGTGACCCCATAGTTTAAAATCTTTGTTACCTTATGACCCAGTCCAGAAACAAGTTATTCCAGAAACGATGACTATGGTGCGTCTTGGTATTTTCTGTTCTATTCCAGTCCAGCCAAATTCATTCCATTAAATAAAATCCCAGCCATTACCCACTAAATTGATTTTGCAATTCCTCACTGTGTGAAAAACTGGGACTGGTCCTAATGTTTCTAAAGGACAGACAGAGGAGGCGGGAGAGGAAGGGGCTCCCAGAGCGTGGGACAGACGGACACACACAGAGCCCGGGGCCCACCCACCCACGGGCTGCTTACCTGAGGTAGCACTGCCGCTCCTTGCCCGGCCAACCTCTGCAAGGAGCTGACCTGAGGACCTGTGACAGGCACTGCAGTGATGGTTCCCAAAGCCTGGAAGACAGGGGAGGGCGGTGCTGAGACGGGACCCAGGAAGAGACACAGCCACCACCGGCCTGGCAGAGCAGGGGTGGGCGCCTATGGCAGCTAACGCTGCTCTTCCCTCTTTTAATTATGAGTTTTTAGTCACAAAAGTTAACACCTATTCATGCAAGAAATTTGGGGAACTAGAGAAAGAAAAAGAATGCACATTAGCTTCCCTTTTTTTAAGTAAAATTTTTATGTAGCTATACGTAGAATTCTGTCACCCATTTTTCTACTGTCACTTAAGGACACACGTAGGATTTCCCGATGCTTTGATGTTGTTCTCAATACTCAGTCACCAAGAAAGGAACAACCCGTCATGTCTGTGGGACACCTGAAGGACAAAGGGCCGACTCCATGAACTACAATACTGCCTGACTCCAACCCAACCCGACACCGGCATTTATACCTCTGCCCGGGACGCAGATGACCGGCCGCTCTTTAAGGAGCACCTTACAGGGTATAGGAGGAGCATGGAAGATGGGGTGATTCCCTGGGTCAGAGCCCAGAGGATTGGGGGAGGAGTTTGCTACAAACGAGGCTGCTGAGCAGTGTCCCCCAGCCTGTCGCTCTGGGATGGTGGGTTCCTCCCTGAACACCAGTCACCTCCCACCCACTGCCCCTTCTCCATCTGTGCTAAACGGGTTTCCAGCCGCCCTCCAATCTCCATCCACTAGCTTCTCATGTCTCAAAGGCCCACCCCCGAGCATGTTCTTCCGCATCCTTATAAACCTTTAATTAACAAGCTGAGGAGACACTTTCTCTGGCAGGGGCTGACCTCTCTGCTCCGTGTTGGGATTTATCGATAGCAGCAGAAACCATCGCAGAGGCTATTCCATGAGCACCAGATAGTTTATGGCCGCACTTTTGTCAAGATAAATGAGCTCCTTATGACTACATTCACAGCTCTAAGCATTTTTACAGGGGGAAAAAGGGCCATAAAAGTCAAAGATAACTTTGAATTTTTCCTGCATCGGTGGAATCCCCGGGGTGGCCTGAGAGACCTCAGACATGGCGAGGCAGGGGGAGGCGCCGAGGGAATGGGTATCGGTGCTGACCATACACATGGTGGGGACAGGCGGGGCTTGGGGTCGGCCTCCGATTCTGGCTCTGACACCAGCTGCGTGTAGCCCCCAGCTCCCCGCCGGCCTTCTCATCCGTAACAGACTTCCTGCTTCTCGGGGCGGGATGAGGCAGCTCAGCGTTGGCCCGTCCGGGCGCCCATCCTGGAGGGGCCCCCATGTGCTCTGCAGTGTCCACTTCCCGTCTCTAAGGTGGGATATACGAACTTGTCTCTCCCCCAAATCAAAGTACTCTGGTGCCGAGCAGTGGGAGGAGGTAGAGAAGGAAACCAGTGTCACCATGTCCGGCTTCCTCCCTGCAGAGGACAGATGCCCCACCCCCTCCTGCGATCCCTTCCCGCCGTTGTTCATTCAGCAAACACCTCACAGCACCCACTGGGTGGCCGGAATGGGGTGGTGAGCAGGACGGGCACCCTGGCTTGTTAAACGGAGCCATTGGGTGTGGTCGGTTCTCTCACACTTACTGAACCCTCTGCTGAGGGCCACCAAGGCCCGGGGTGGCATGTCCTGCCCGGTGCCCAGTAGGCAGCCCATGGCAGAGCCTGGCTCTCACCAGGCCCCTGAGCCCTGGGCCACCACCTGGGAACCCCAGACATCTGGGGGGGGATCCCTGGGGCTCCTGTGCCTTCAGTCCCCAAATGTCTCTGCAGATCTGGCCCAGAGTCCCTGCCTGGCGTCACCTTGCCCAGAGGCCCACAGACATCCTTGCGATACAAGGTGAGTCCTGGGCTGCGACTGAGACTGAGACAGAGGAAGGAATTCAGGGCTCGGGGCTCGGGAGGAGGCGGGCGTGCGGGCTGTGCAGGCGGAGAGGAGGCCGGGTCACCGACCAATCCTTAGGGACTGAGACCTTCACACGCGCAGCGGTCCTGTGGAATGAGGCTACACCACACGGAGACAAGCGTGCTTGAAGGGCACGGGAGTCTCTCTCCCCACTTGACCTTGGGGGCTGGGCCCCATCAGCACGATGGACACGAAGGCAGGAGTTATCTTGGAGCCTGACTGGGGGAGAAGAACGGGACCCCGTTGCTGAGCGCCGCATATCCAGGCACATTCCCTGTGACCTTGACTAACCTTGTCTGGGAGGTTGGTGTCCAGTGGGGGGCAGTGGGGTCTGGTCAGGGCAGCTGCGGCCTGGACCGCTCACTGTGGGGTCTGCGTGCCGGGCACGGCTGTAAGGACAGCAGGGAAGGGAGCACTCACGCCCCTCCACCAGCTGGGAGTGGGTTTGCTGAGCTGACGAGAGTGGGGGCTCCTGCTTGCCGCACCCACGAGGCTCCCGCCTCTACCTGGCTGGGTGACGAAAGCGGGGTGGCAGCCGGAGGCCTCCAAGAACAACGCAGGGCACCCCAGGGGCAGGCGGCCCTACTTCCCGTCCCTCCGCAAGAGCCAGGCAGTTGTGAAGCCGCTTTATAAAATCGCTGTGATGTGGGGCAGAGATAACAGCCAAGCTCCAACCTCAGTCGGGGCCAATAAATATTAATGTAACGTAAGCACCACTTTTACTGCCGTGTGAAGCCAGTTTATTATTCACAGATGAAACCCGGCTGCCGCCTTTGCCACTGTCGCGAACGGCAGAGCTGCCACTGTGCTCCTGCCGGGTCTGGCCGTGACGCCCAGCTCAGTGCCCCACGCACCCCGTGCTCGTCCACAGGGCCTTCGGGGGCGCTTCGGGGTGGATGGCAAACCCCAGCGAGACGCACGCCTGTCTTGGCTGCCCCCTCCCCTGGAGTCCCGGCTCCTCCCAGCCCACGTCTAGGTCTACAGCTGTGACATGGCATATTCTAGAGCTTTTAAGTTTCATTCTCTGCTGAGCTGCGTCACGCCAAGCATCCCCGTCCTGACGTCGAAAGCCAGGGGAACAAGTGCTCCCCTCCATGTTTCCAGGACCACAGGGGAGGGCAGGAGGCACCTGACACAGAGCCCCTGGGAGTCGGCCCAATGGCTGGCTCCTCTATTCCCAAAGGCACACCAAGGACTGAATGTGCTGACAATCGGGCAGGGGACGGGGCGGGTCCTCACCTCTTCTGACATGATGTATTGCTGGCCGGCTGTCTCCCTGTAGAAGTTCCGACTGGCCCCCGGGGGTGCAGAGGCCTGTTTAGACCGCCCCCCAAGACAGGCTGTGGCTCTTGCTCGTGGCACCCACACTTGCCGGCCCTTGCCCTGGGCACCCTGCTCTCTCCCAGGGTCTTAGGGACGGTTCCCCACAGCATGGCCGCTCCCGGGGGAAGGGAGCACACCCAGGGAGCTCTCAGGAGACCCTAATGTTGGGTCTTTGAAACAAGAGCCCTCGTCTAAAATCAGCTTCTTCAAACCCCACGAGGGGAGCTGTTCTCTGAAGCTCTGGGCCCGGGGACGCTGCACACACCCCACCTCAAAGCAAACCCATTTACGAGTGCGCTGCGGGGAAAACGATACAAGGCCATTGCGGCCCGGCTGCTGGGCACAGGCGGCACCAGCCCGGCTGGGTCCCGGTGACCCTGACCGAGCGGGCCAGCTGAGGCGGGCTGCCCAGGGCCACTTAACCAATGCAGAGGTCTTTGCAGGGGAGGCCGTTCTTAATCAGAAAGCCCCAGAAGACACAAGTGGCCACTCCGCGCTGACATTTAAAACATCCTTTCAGCAGGCCCCAGTGTGGCAAAGTGGTTTAATTAACTTGAAAGGGTGTAATTTTATGCTATTTAGTAGGAAATACACACTCTAAATGGCACCGTGCACTAAGGATTGCGGGCTGTGATCTTGAGGGTGTGCAAAAAACGGCCACGAAGGTCTGGCAACCACAGGTGTGGGGTCGGGGCGGGGGGGGGGTGTGCTGGAGACTTCCCCACAGATGGCAGCCTCTGACGTGCCACCCTGGTTCTGCAGTGGAAGTGCCCACGAGACCAGCTGAAACAGCCACATCACATCAACTCAACTGAGAAACAAATGCCGCGTCTGAAAGAGAATTGGCCTAGGGGGAGGTTGAGGGCCCGTCAGGACCCCCGTGGAATTCCCCCATCCAGGCCATTAAGGGAGGGGGACTCCAGTTCCCCGAGGGGGAGGTACCCACCCGCCTCGCGGTTGGCTCAGCCTGCAAGGCATGTCCAAAGCCCAAAGTCATGGCAGGTGTCCTGGGTGGTGGCCCCTGGCGAGGCCAAGAGAGCAGGCTGCCCCGCTCCCACTGAAGGGTCACCTCTCCTAACCTGTGCCCCTCAGGAGGAGGCCAGGCACAGGCGAGGACGCAGCCTCCAGCTTTGGAGATGGAGGGGTGAAACGACCCAGGGGCTGGGGATGGAACCTCACAGGCCACTGGGAAGACCCTGGGGCTGGTTTTCCTCCCTCTGGTGGGTCCCCTGGGACATGCAGCTGGTCCCGAAAGGGCGTGGGCTTGTCCCCAGGGCTGCTGGCAGAGGACAGGGGCTGCCTCCCTGGGGCCTGGGGCACGGGGAGAACATGGAATGGTTGCGGCCTGCCCTTCGCTGTCCCCTGGTCCCACAGACTGCCTGTGCCCCTCACCTCATGCTCCCCGGTATCTGAGATTGCGGAGCGTTTGTGTCTGCTCCTTGGCAGGGGCTCCAGAGCCACGACCTGGGCCCTGAGACCCTGAGGCCACTACCACCAGGCACACATTTTCGAAACAAACCAGTGAGGACGAAATGCAATCGATGGGAGAGTTTCTAACGGCCTCTTCCCCCGCAGACCTCAGTAGCTCCGTAAAATAGAGTCATTCAGGAAATCTAATTCCCACGTGTGACCAGCTGACACACACTCCCACTGGCCCTATCTCATCATCCTGCCTCCTCTGACGGCCTGGAATCTAATTTAGGGGCACACATGAGCACGGCGCCCCGGGAAGCCCGCTAACAGCCCATGACACACTCCTCGCTCGGGAGAGGCCTCCTGGAGCGTGGGCAGTGACGGAGGCAGCCCTGTCTTCCCAGAGAGTCCTGGCTCTCCAAAGGAGACCCCACAGCGCAAAACGGAGACACGATTTACGTATAGTGAACGACGCAGGGCTGGGCGTACAGCTCAATGGATTGTGACAAATGTCTCCACCCAAGTGACCACCACCCAGGCCAAGAGGGAGAACATTCCAGCAACCTGGGGGCTCCTGAGTGCCCTCCAAGGAGGGCCTGTGCCCCAACCGAGGGTCCAGGCTTCAGCTCCTGGCTTGATTCTCTGAGCCAGCAGCTGTCAGGAGACCAAGACTAGATCCCCACTGTTTTCTCAACCCGTTGGCACCAATTAAACTCCCCAGCTGCTGACTGAGAGGCCACCCCGTGCCAGGCCGTGTGGACAGGTGGGAGCAAGGCATCCAGGCTGTGCCAGGCTGGGATGTGAACCTGAATCTGACACTGCTCGGCCGTGGGGATGGAGGTGGACGGGAGGGTCCCACCGACAAGGGAGGGGTGGAGGTGGGGGGGAGTTTGACGTTGACAGAGCACCTGTGTGTCTGTGTGATTTCCACAATTCTGGGAGATGAGTTCAGGACCCCAAAGTGCGGATGAGGAGAATGGGGGAGGGGAAGCGACCTGGCCCTCCAGCTTCGGGGGACGGTCCTCCCACCACCCAGCCCCGCCCCTGCCTGTCTTCCTCCCAACCTCGTCCTGTAGGATGAGACTGGGTCATGGGGAGGAAGGGAGGACACACGGAGAGAGGTGCCATGTCCCCTGCAGGGTCAGCACGGCCATCTCAGACCTGCAGGCGGCCTGGGACAGAACAGTGTGATGTGTCCCAGCCATCACAGTGCCCGGCACACAGGAGGCACTTAATAAATGCACCTCCCTGTCAGAGGCGTGTCCCTGCACCAGCCTGTCCCGTGTAAGGCAGAGGGGACTGTGACACTTGGTGGCAGCACTTTGGGGACTGGGAGGTGACGGCTGGGGGGATCACAGATGTCACTCTTCTCTGCACGTGCCCCGTGTGGCAGGAACCACACCGAGCTCAGGAAAGCAGGGACCCCGGGGCCAGGTGCCCCTTGGGCCAAATGGTGCCTTCACACCAGAGTCACTCTGGACCAGCGTCCTCATCTCCTGACTCAGTTTCCCCACTTCTGTGATGGGGCCACCAGTGTCCAGAGGAGATGGCCAGGCTGGAAGAGATCTCCTGACCTTCCCACTGAGATGACCCAGACCTAAGGCGGGGAGCACGGTGGGGGCCACAAGAGTGGTGACAGCCTGGCCACAGGGCACACCGTGTGTCAGGTGCTCAGGCGGCACAGCCGCTGAATCTCAAGGTGGACTCTGTGTGAGCAAGCTCATTCTGCAGGAGGAAAACCCCCGTCTCAGCCTCACTTGTTCCCCAGCAGGATGCCAGGCCCACCTTATGCTAAGCGGGCTCTGCTTCCGCAGCTCAGGGAAGCGTCCCAGCCTCGCTGAGATCCGCCCGGCACAGACGGGAAGACGTGAGCCAGGCTGGCCACAGCAGGTGCTGCGGATGTAGGCTGACTCCCACCCAGAACCCACCTCCGGCCTCCCCACGTCCCCAGCATGATCCGTCCACTTGGGGGAGGTGGCTGGGGGGAGAGGGTAGGTTTGTCATGTGGCCACACACAAGGCCACACAGTGGGAGACGCAGCCACTTGACCCCCAGCCACCGCCAGGGCCCCCCGCTCTCTCCCTGGCCTGGCAGCTGCCGGCTCCTGGCCTGTGACCTCGCGTTCTCACTGCGTACCGCACCCGCCTCGGCACACACGTCACAGACGAGGGAACCAGGCCTCAGCCAGGTGGAGTGGCTTGTCAGAGCGCTTGCACTGTGGCCTGAGACTCGCTGTAAGTGTAGGATTCACGTGAGAATTCAGAGACTCCGTATGAAAAAAAAAAGGTAAAACATCCCATTCATAGTTTAAAAAGTTAGTTTCCTGTTGAAATGATAACACTTTGGGTATTCTGGGTTACCAGGCTATTAGAAGATTTAAAATTCCATCTGTGGCCCCGATTTGACTTCCACTGGACGGAGCGGTTCTATAGGAATGTTTCTAGTTTAAGACAAAAGCCGTGGGCTCCCACTTCTGGTAAGGACGCAGATGGGAGGAAACCTTTTGCTCCTGGGCAGCAAGAAGCCACACCTGGACAGAATAAAAATCAGGCTTTTCTGTGGGACTGGAGAAAAGCGGTGAATAAGAGAAAACCCGGAATGACCAAGTTCCAGGGAGGAAAGAGCCTTGACAGGCAAGCAGAGGGGACACCCACACGGAGGGGACACCCACACGGACGTGGGTGCCCGTGTGAGCACAGGTGCAGAGGGAGCAGGTGGCCGAGGACCGAGACACCGAGAAGACAGCAAGCGCCAAGGAGCCACTGGGGCTCTCACCACAAACGGCCGGAAGGGGGGGGTGGGGGACAGTGTGGCACTTTGGAGAAGTTTGGTAGTTTCTCTCTCACACACACACACACACACACACACACACACACACACACACACACACACACCTGTGCCCTAGCACCTGTCAATTTCCCTACCAGGTATCGACACAACAAAAATGAAAACGCATCTTCAAAACCGACTTGCGCACGAATGTTTGGAGCAGCTTTAATCAGAATTGCCAAAAAGTGGAAACAACCCAAATGTCCGTTTGGAGAATGGACAAACGTGCCGAGGTGCGTCCATGCCATGGGTGCCCCCCCCCTGCGGGGCGCAGGAGTGAGTGACGGGGACACCAACAGCAGGGAGGGTCCTCAAAAGCATGATGTGAACGAACGGGGTGAGACAGAAAGGCCTAAGACTGAATGGCTCCATGACAGGACACTCAGGAGCAGGCGGAGGTGAGGGGGCTCGGGCGTGGCTGCGCTGGGGGTGGCCCGGGCCACCGGGCGAGGGAAAAGTTCTGTGTCTCGGCTGGGGTGCACGTCACTTGGACGTATACAACTGTCAAAACGCATCAAACAGTACAATTGAGACTGACTGGTGAATTTCAATGCATGTAAATTATACCTCAAGGAAAAAAAATTATATATTAAGGGAAAGGCAAGAGCCTCAGCTCCCACCTCACAGAGAGAAAGGCAAAGAGAGGCAGTGGGAGGGGCGCCTGCACACTACACCCTCGGGGTGGGGGCGGGGGGGGGCAACACTGATACACCCCCACCCCCCACCGCCCGCTACACAGCTACCGGCCAATCTGCTGCATCTGGACTGGAGTCGATACTCCCAGTTACGTCCACCAGGGTGCCGCCTCCAGGACCTGGAACAGGTGATGCCTGCAGGAAGCAAACTCGCCGAGGGGCTCCTGTCACCTGCAGCGTCCTGCCTTCTCCTAGGACCTTCCAGGAGAAAACCCGAGTGCAGCTCTGACAGGGCTGGGGTGCAGAACTCAGTGGGGCCCCAAGGGGGAGGTGACAGGAGATTCTAGGGCAGGGTTTCCATAGATTAGGACACTAAGGGACACCCAGGAGACCAGGAGAGATGGAGCACAGGGGACAGGCTGAGATGTGGCAGGGCCGAGGCTGGGGAGGACGATGGGGACTGGGTCCAAGGGTCCTAGAGGCCACCCCAGGGAGAGAGGCTGTGATGCTGCAGGTGACAGGGAGTCTGGGAGGAGGTGTGAGCCGGTAGTGAAGGGGTAGCTGGGATATGCGAGATGGAGCAGAGGCTGCACAAGTGGAGTCCGGGGGTTGGGGGACACATGTGACATGAGCGAGAAGGGATGGAGACCTGTGGGGCTCTGGGGGTTTTAAGAAGGAGGGTGACAGGGTCGACTGAGTGGCTCGTTGGTTGAGAGTTGGCTTGGGAGCATGAGCTCTGAGCAGCAGGGCTGTCGGTTCAGATCCCACATGGGCCGGTGACGCTGCGCCCTCTACAGCTAAGATGGTGAACTGGGCTGCTCTAGATGGTCAATCTAGAGCTGGCTGCCGTGAGTTGCCTGCGACGGCGTAGGCTACAGTGGGGCTGGCCGGCAGTGGGCATGAGCTTTCGTGAGCTGCAGTAAGCTGCCATGAGCTGCTGTAGCGGCCATCCTATGGCCGGCGAGCGACTGCCTCATCCGGGAAGAGTGCAATGATAATACCAACATGGGCCAGTGAAGTGACGTCCTCCACAACTAGACAAAAGGACAGCAATTTGTCTGTTCCCCTCCCCCACTTCCCCAATAAAATCTTAAAAAAAAAATTGGAACAGGTTGAAATGTTTAGAAATGGATATATTATTGCAAATTAAAATTAAATTCCACGAAATGCCAATAAGTTGGGCCCCCCTCCACCTTTGCAGGTCATGTTGGGACCTCCACCACACCCCACACGCTGCCTGGCTGGAGGGAGTGGGCCAGAGGGTTTGGCCCAGGGGTAGGGGGAGGCTCAGGACCCCTGAGGGCAGGAGTGTCTGCTGCTGCCACTGTCACTGCCCAGGCGTCTCCTCAGCAGGGCGGTTAGGGAAGCACGGGGTGTCCCACTGTGCCCACGATGGCCCAGCGTGGGGCACTCAGAGGGTTCCCTGGCCAAGGGTGGAGCTCGTGACCAAAGGAGCTCTTTTGCTCCTGTGGCCTGAGTGAGGGCCGATGGGATGGGGTCCCTCTGTGCTGCCCACCTTT